AAAGCCTTTTCAATTTTAATTTTTAAAAATATATTTTGTGAAAAAACTAGATGGTATCTCTTCTTTTTAAATGCATTGTATACTCTTCTGATGAAAGTTCAGGATATGAAAATGAGGCTTTAATGGGACATTGTTTATTAAATTAGGAATATGTTTATTTTGAGTTCTTTGGTTCTTATGTAACAGCTGCTTCAGTCCAAAATACAGTGAATCATTGAAAATGAATAAACCCCTTTTATACTAAATTTAATGGCTGTAGATTTTGGCTCTGTATTTAGCCTACCAATATGAAAGATAGTGAGTAAACTGCAATAGACACATTTGGGTGGAGTGAAGAATGTTCTTTTTGCAAATACTGTAAGTAGCCAAATAGAGACTTGAGAAATCTCTGTGCAGCAATTTCTTAGAAGAGATTAATTTCCATAAAAAAATAGTTTTGCTAAAATGGGAGGACAGAGAATCAGTGACTATATTTAGGGAGAAAAGCATATAAAAGAAACGCAATAAAGTGCTGGATCCCAAAGTAATTAAATCCAATACACCTATGAGTAACATTTATTTGATGTTTTCTTCTCATGACTGCTGCTGCCAAATATTATCTTTGTGTCTGTACCATAGATCACCATCTTTGATTCTCTACCATCTTCTCTTCTTGTCCTTGTGCAACCAGCATGATCATCTATCAGCCTTCCTGGCTCAGAACCAGCCCTTTCTCTGTTGTTACCCAGTGAGACCTCTGCTGTGTTCCTGGCAATCGGCATCATTTCCCTTCCCGTTCATCAAATGAATCCAGAAAGCATGTGCAGGCAGGCAGATTGCTCTTCTGTGGCTGACCTTTCTCTGAGTTGAACAGAGAGAGAAATTTTCATGTTCCCAGGAAGCCATTTCCACTATAATGACTAATTGGCACAGGACTGACTATTCAAGTAACGGGGGTCACGGTTCACATCCTTTTTGTAAATCTTTGTGAGCAATCTGCCGCTTGGCTAGTAATAGTTTATTTAGAGAAAATAGTGCTGGATAATGACTTGGATTTTTTTTTTCTTCTTCTGAAAGTTTTGAAAGGGAATCTTTTTTTTTCTTTTTTCTTTTTCCTTTTTTTTAAGATTTCATTTTTAAAACATTTTTCTTTTTTCAGAAAGGTAGAAAACCATACAAAGATATTGCACCATAGCTTGTAATTCATTTCTGGAAATGTTATATTTGCATTTCATTATTTTAAAATTCCGCTGTGGTCTTTCTCTGGAACCAATTTCTAGTTTGAAGTCTTAAAGAAAATCGGCGAGTACTTTGTGTCGAGGGCTGACAACAATGATTTCTCCTCTTAATCTCCCCATTTTGCATTTTAGGCTTCTTCAAAACCTGGAAGCTATCTTTAGTTCTGCTTCAGTAGAGCAATTGTTCCTAGTTGTGCCTGTTCTGATTAGTTCTAAATAGTGCAAAGAGCCATTAGGTTATGAGAGTGCATCTATTCCTTTATGCTGACTCGTGAAGCTGCTTGGTTTTTCCTAGCTAAAACTATACCTTTTTAATCTGTTTCCATCTGTGAGCCTTTCTTCTTCATTTCCTCAGCATAGAACAATCATGCTTTTCCATCTGCCATGTCTTGAGGCAGAACTGAGCTTGATTCAACTTTTTGTTAGTCCTGCAAAATGCCATAAAATAACTTTCATGTGCAAAAGTTGATTGCATAGAGGGCAGAACAAGAATTCAGTGACATAATTTCAAGAAGACCAGAATTTTTGTCTGCTTCCATTCTGTTTATCCCTGGAACTTTATTATCCTTTGTTTCTGGTAGCCAGTTATCAGGAAAGTGCTTTGGAAGGGCCCCAGGGATGCTCTGGAAGCAATAGGGTGTGATACCTATAAAGGCATCTACTGGGAGATGAGCGGACCTCCATGTGTTGGCCTTTGTAAGAAAAGTCTGCTAGACTAAATGGGCTGTAGTCCAATCCACCAAGGTGTGGCTGATATTTTTAATATACAGGCTGGATGTTATAGGTAATTCCCAGGTTGCAGTTTCTCCACCCTGATACCTTCCACCCTAACCTTAACGCTCTTAGTGATAATCATCATTTGTTTCCCTTTAATTTGTCAGTTGAATTGCTTGGAAGAAAATCTTCAAAATAAAAAAAGCATGCCTTTTCAAGGTGACCCATTGCTTGCCCATACTAATGACATATTTGACAATCGGGCATAGTGTATTTTCACAGCTTTACTGTGAAATTCAGACTGGTAAAACCGTTAGAGTGTGAAGAAGAACTAAATAATTAACAATAGGGTAAGGTGATAGGAATGAAATTACTGAGTAAAGGAGTAGGCTTGGAAAGATACAAAGGTGAGCTAAAACAGGAAACATGCCCCAGATAACAGGAACTCCAAAAGAACAAGGGATTTGTTAGTGCTAGGACATCAAAAGGCGGCCGTGTAAGATAAGAAAAACAGGTGAAATCTGAGAAACCTGGTTTAAGAACTAAAAATACTTTTGTCTGTCTCCTAATGCATTCAAGGTTATTTCCTATAATCTTACAAAGGATGACTGTTGTAACTCAGGACACTAATTTTAAAAAGGGTAATTATAATTAGTCTGACAGTCTTCTAGAATGTCTTCTAGAATTTACAGATATATATTGTACTGATGCCAACAGTTTGCATGATGAACATACAAATCCAAGACTGGAACAATCAAGAAAAACAATGTAAAGCAATAAATAGTTTCTCCCTTCCCTAGATTTTGAATTTTGTTGTAAAACATTCAGAGCAAAATACATCCAGTAAGAACATTATATATGGGGTATAAATTAATCTTTCCTTCCCTGTGATTTCTGCAAGATAAAACCCACTGACTTCTCCACCGCATCCTTCCATTAGTCTGGCAATAGCTTATGACTATAATAGTTCTTCAAGTGATGGTAAATGGGAGTGGAATTTCCATCACTGAGCAATGCAGATGTAAATTGCAGTGTCATGTGCCACATCACTTAGTGATGGTAATCCCCATTGCCATTGTTAACCAAATTCCACCGGTTGTCAGCTGAGGACCCATTCCAATCCAAGCCATTTTAGGCTTGTTCCATCCCAGCCCCAAGCCAGGGTAGGATGGTTACCATGTAGGGACTACCTTCAATTGCCCCCACTGGTTTATCTTGAGTAGAAGTTTTGAGAGGAAACCGCCATGCACAATCTTGGGAAGAAAGCCTCATGTGGTTAGCAGCT